ACACAGTCAAGCCCCACCATCTTAGTTGCATTATATGAAGTTCTTCATTAACTCTCTAAATTTAAATCAATAAATATGTGCAATATATTATACATACATACATAAATACATCTATCTTAGTTGAGGTCTGGCTATTTCCTCCTACATGTGAGTTAGTTGCAATGTTGGACACTTCAGTCACCATTTATTGTTCTTTAATGACACGGTTTGGAAATGGTTTTTTATTAACCACCTTTTTTAATAGTCATTAAGCTGTCACTAATTTCCTTTTAACAACCCTTGGTTTTTGGACCTATATAAATATGGCCCATATGTTATTTGCGAACACACCGTCTTGAGCTCTTGAGCGTTAGAGCCCTTAAGAGGAGAAGAGCCCGAACGCTTGAGCTCAAGGCAATGTGTGTTCTCTATCAAATACTTTTTTTAATGATAAAAAAATTCAAGAAAAGTTTTGTTTTGTATAAATTGTAACATCTCAAAATTTAAATAGAGATTAATTACATCAATTAGAGAGTTAGATTAAATAGTTGAAATGCGTCTTCATAAAATCAATTGTTATTTAACTCACAGTTTCATTTATTTATGATCAAGCATGCCTTTAAAATTTTGATGAAATCTTACAGCCAAAGTGTGGACACTCACTGGGTGCTAGGATATGAGACACTAAAAAAAAAAAAATCCATACAACAATAACAAAGAAAATCTTAGAGGATTTGAATCCTGTAGTTAAATTAATTAATATTTCTTTTAGATGTAGGGAAATTCATATTTTGATTGTGATTTTGACCAACTCTACCATTCACATTCATAAAAATTTATAAATTTGAATTTGATAGAAATTTATATTTTATTGTTATTCTTTTATAAGCACAAATTCATCATACACCCTTTTTTTTCCTTTGACATAGCATTGGCTATTTCAACCCTCTTGAATTCTCTTTCCATTCTCATTTCATTTCATTATCTTTGAATTCTAATTTTTTATACTACCAAAACAAAAAATTTTAAATATATATTTAAATATTTAAATTTAAAATGAAAATCAAAACACTACCTTAAATTATGAAAGTATTGAGTAAACAGAGAAAAATGTCATTTTTTTCATTAAAAAAGACTTAAACAGAAATCATCATAGAATTATAATTAATCTCACAAAACATGTACTTTAGATCAACCGTAAGAATTTGCCTTGTTATATTACATCAAAGCTAGAGTCAAAAAAATGGGTCAAGCCTATCAGGTCAGTTCATTTAAGCCTGTATAATAAGAGGCCTAAGCTTTAAAAGGCACCCCAAAATGGTAAATCGGGCTTAAACGGGTTGTCCTATTTAAGCCCATTTAATTTAGGATTTAAATGGGCTAGCCCTAACAGGCTGAAGGCTAACTCGTTTAAGCCTACATCTTTTTTTTTTTCAGTTTATATAATTGACTGGACTTCTCTTTGGACTTTGTAAAAAAAATAAATGTGTGATCTGTCTCCACATCATATGTGAGCCCAACCCATATCTATTGAGGAAGGGAATAAACAAGAGACACCCTAAATCATAAATCCCCTAATTCATTTAGTCTTCACTCTTCGCTTTCTCCAATTTGGTTCTTCTCGTCACCTTGCCCTCCCATCACAAGTCATCCTTGCTTCTGCTTCTACTCACTCTTCAGCTATCCTTGTCATCGACTTTGATTGCACTCCCTCCTAAGACCCAAGCCCTGACAATACTTAAGTGGTTGTCGCTTGCCGCATCGGTCTCCTAAGTCCTTGTTGTAACTCATCTTGCATTTGTGAGCTTCTAAGCCTAGATCATCACTTACCCTTGTGTGGCTGATAAATGCTTTATTATGAATTTCTTCTCTATCATGCTTTATTTTGATTTTGTTTGGGGCAATCATGATCTGTTCTTTTTGCTTTCCCTATTAATTCAATAAAAGGGGCTTCTTTTAGATCTTGAATGAAAGCAAGGATAAAACTTCAAAGTGATGTTGAGAAATAACTCCATGCTGGTTCTTACTATTTGAAGTCTAACTTAGCCCATAAAGCATGAACCTTTAACACATTTTGGTGGCAGTTGGATTGTAAAATTTTTAGATCACAAGGACTTGGTTTTTTTTTATCTTCCCTCGATTATTTTGTTGTTTTCATAGCTCAAATTGTTAACTAGTTAATGAACTAAATCAATCATTATTGGAATTTCACCTCATGTGTACATACTTGTTCTAATAATCTATCCATCCAAACTTCTTGATAGTGATAAAGAAGATAATAATGATGATGATGCTAATGTTTGACTATATATTTATTTTTATTGAGACTGTGATGGTGGAATGAATTATTTTCATTTTAATAAAACAATAAAAAGAAGTAAAAAGGCTTGAAACCCGCAGGGCCAACCTTAAGGTCGTTATGTCAAAGGCCGAGCTTCACATATCAAGATTTTAAAAGGTATTTAGGCTTAAATGGGCTATGTAACAGCTCTCACCCCACCCCTCCAAGGGTCTTTTAGAGCCTTCGCAGACTCGAACCCCCAACCTCTACTACCTTAATGAAGTTGAGGTTAAGTCTGGTACCATTGAGTCAGACTCAATGGTACCAGACTTAGCTTCAACTTCATTAAGGTGATAGAGGTTGGGGGTTCGAGTCTGGGAAGGCTCCAAAAAACCCTCAGAGGGGTGGGGTGAGGGCTGCTACAAAAAAGGCTCTTTTAGGCCTGAACTAGTCAAGGGTCGAGCCAGCCTGGTTTTCCAACTCTAATCAAAGCATAAAATTAGATGTAAAATATATTATATCAACTATAAGGTTTTGAGTTAAGATATGATGTTCTTCCACTAATCTTGCCTATCTCTCCTTTCTCTCATTTTTGGGTGGTCATTCCTCATTCCTAACAATAGATTGTAAACTACTTGTGTGACCACTTGCTAAATTTAGTTTGAAATTGATAATAAACTCTGTATTCGTTGATTTGACTTTGCTAATTTTGACTCGTAGGTTATGCTTTTGGCTGAAACGGATACATCAGCTGTAACTTTAGAATTAGTTCACGAAACAATTCTAAAGTATTAGAAAAGACAAAGAAAGAAATAGACACACATATTGGGCGATAATGGTTTATAGATGAGCCAGACATTCCAAAACTACCATACCTGCACGGCATCATCTCTAAAACACTTCGATTGCATCCTGCTACACCATTGTTGGTTCCACATAAGGCTTCTAATGACTGCACCATAGGAAAATATAACGTTCCACGTGGCACTATACTTGTATTAGTGAATGCTTGGGCCATCCATAGAGATCCTCAAGTGTGGAGTGATCCTACAAGTTTCAAACCAGAGAGGTTTGCGAAAGAAGGAGAAGCAAAACAAGCTAATTGCATTTGGGTTGGGAAGACGAGCATGTCTAAGAGCAGGGTTAGCTCAGAGAACAATGGTATTGACTTTGGGATTGTTGATTCAATGCTTTGAATGGAAACGAGTGAGTGAGGAAGAAATAGATATGAGAGAAGAAGCAAGGATCACCCTGCAAAAAATACTCCAGCTATGTGTGAAGTGCGTCTTCCAATGATCAACAAGCTTGCTTCTGAAAATGTTGCAGAGGATAGCAAAGTCAAACAATGGTAACTGGGCAAGGATTTTGAGAAAGTCCCATGGCGTTTTTAAGTATTTGGTAGAATATATCTTTGTACAACAATAATTCCCTTGTATATATAGTTTATCGTATTTGGTTAATTTGTTTTTCTTGTTTCGTATAAATGCATCAATTATCATATTTGCTTCGCCTTTTCAAGTATTTCAAATGACTTAACGATCTTTGCATCGATTATCTTGTCATCTTTTATGATTCTATAACATGTTTGTTTAAGATAGGCATATATAAATACCTGGTGTCGCAGTAAATCCATAGTTAAGTTTATAATTAGAGGGCAATATAGAGTAAAATAAACATGACTTAATATTAAATTTGGGCTGGAGAACCTCACAACTATTCAAAATTAAATTTGGGTTTCAGTAAAATGAACATGAATTATTATGGTACCCACATAAAAAAATCTAACAATACGCATTGTGATTGTTCTGAAAAACAACCATCTTAATTTTGTGAAACAAATATACAATATGGGCTATATATAAGCTAAGTGGGCCTAGACCATTATTTGATGTTTTGTTTTACCGAAGAACAGAACCTTTTAGTCCAATGATAGCTGCGCCCAGATTTTTGTTAGTACTTGGTCCACAGATATCCAACTATGGAGTTAAAGTTTCAAGGACGAATGGTTTGAGAAAGAAGGCCTCGCAACAAAAAAGTGTAATTCAATTTGACTTAGAAAACTTTGCACAAGTTAAAGCATGATGAGACACTGGATTTTTATTGGTGGTGCATTTGATGCACCTAAAAGTTTTTCTAAAAGGGTGTCTTGTAATATTGAACAGAGAAAGTGTTCAATTGCAAAAACCACAAAGATAAAGAAAGTTAGTTGTGTTTAAATACTTTTTTTTTCTTTTTTCCCAAAGTTTGCCCCTAATTAAATGTTTTATAATGGTATAATCTTCTATTAGGGGTTGGAGGAAAAAAAACCTTAAATACATGCGGAAATATTTTTTATAAAACATTTTAGAATTTTGAACAAGGAATTATGAAAAAAGACAAAGGCTTTAAAAAAATAATTGCATAAGTTTTTCATAGCCAAGCACATCTAAATGTCATTTGTAAATATTATTTATTAAGTTATAAATGTATAAAATTTAAGATTTAAGAATATTTTTATATATTTTATGAGATTTTTTTAATAATCAAATCTCTAGATGTAATTTTTCTTAAATTTTTGAACCATTCCTTGACCTTTTTCTAGACATGCTTTTGCTTTTTGAATGTCAAAGAAACATGAAATTAAATTAAAATCAAAACTTTTCACCCAACGGCAGCTGAAGTGACGACAAGCATAAAGCAAGGCGTATGTAGCAGTTGATGTAACTAAAAAAAAAATTAATAAAAATAAAAACATCCAGAATGAAACTACAAGTAGAAGCGGGACTTTATTAATTAATTATTAAATATATAATAAATAAACGAAGAGGCACCAATTCCTCATACATATTACAACACCAACAGAATGACGCATATTTTAGAATTCTCTCACATGCAATGTAATAGTACAATAATACAATACACACAACTTGAGTAGAGGAATTAGAGGAATCAAAAGCTACAACAACATATCTTAATTCGAAATCCTAAGAGTCGAGTTTAAAAGTTCTGATACTTTTTATTTATCCTCTTCAATCCTCATATTTTTGACGCTGTCACTCCCCATCTTTTACAAATAATTATTACCTGTGGTAGAAGTGAGCACTGCTCACAACTATTTTATTAATATTATAATATATTTTTCTAAAATCAATTTCTTCCAGGGGATGAAGAAGTTGGTGGCGACTTTGGTCGTGGAAGGCATTTGGCATAAGTTTGATTAGGAGGACAAGGAACCGCAGGCTTATTCTTATTTCCTGTTCCCCCAATCACTGGCGTCTGGTCTGCATTATCATATAATTTATACATCAGTTCAAATTAATTCCAACAAAAAGTACTTGATGATATTATATACATAAATAATTCCTAATAATCGAGGCAAAACAAGCTTAATTAATTAGCCATGGAAGATGAGATTGAAGGAAACAGCAAAATATATGGAAGAAGGTTAAGTTGTTACCAACTAATACACGAGCATGAGTGGAAGAAGGGAGGGAGAGAAATGAAGAGAGCAAAAGGAGAAGAGCAAATGGAATAGCCTTCTTCATTGTTTTCAGGGAAAGCAGTGTTTATTTTCTCAATTTTTGCCTTTGTATGCTCCTCACACTACTCTAACCCATCGTCTCCATTTATAGTCTCTTAAGAGAAGCAAAAAAACATGTTGATAAAATAAAGGGCTTTTATGTATTCTAACTATTGCACCAATGATTGTGTTATTGCATCGTGATAATAGTAAAAGAGAAATCCAAATTGAATTGCTCGCACGTAGACTTGCTCATTGACTTGAGAATGGCGACAATTTCAATGCGGTTTCTAGGAAATTTATCATAATTATTACTTCTTCTTCCTGTGGATATAAAAGACTCGAACGTGGTCAAATATGGCGTCCGCGACAACAGTGGCTATGAGTACAAAATTATTGGGAAAATAACTGCAGATTTCGCGAAGATATTAATAACAACTAAATATCTCTGATTATTAAAAATGTCATAGTATATTGTGATCTTTATTTTCAATTAAAAAAAAGTTACTTCACAAAATTGTCCTTATCACCAAATGTAGAAAAATATAGCCAATGAAATTAAGGGTCACCCATGACTTAAAATAAAAAAAAATTAGTTGTAAATATATGAAAAGGTGAATTATATGTTATAAATGGATAGATAGTTTTATAATTATCTATCGTTACTTGTGATTTTTAGAAATTGTATTTGTGAAATCATAAAAAGTCACTAAGTCAGCTGTAAATAAATATTTATAAACAATAGAAGGTCCCTAAATCATAGATTTAAAATTAATACTGTTTATCCGTTTACAATTAATTTTTTTTATAAATTTATAGATAATCTTTTTATTTTTAAATTTATAAATGATGATATATAAATTTATAACTAACTTTTCTTAAATTCATGAATCATCTCCTATTGGTTATTTTCTGCACTTGGTGATAAGGGCAATTTTATAAATTCATTTGTTTTTCAGTTGTAAATGAAAAATATAATCCTTCCATTCCGTGATACTTTTAAAGATTCACTAATGTACAGTACTATATTGGGTATCAGTTAAATAAACGTTTTCACGTCACTATATAAAGTATAATAGTAATCAAAGTCGGTAATTTGGATCAAGTTTAACGAGTCAATTTAAATAAGTCCAAAAATTTAATGGACAAGTTTGGGAGTCTAGAATTTTTTACTTTTGACCTGAAGAAATGTAGGCCAGATCCAAACCCAAATGAGCTTAGTTTGAATACTAAATTTTTTTAATTATTAATAAAACAAATTACACTTACATAAAAATTGAAAATTTTAATTTTTTAAGATAAGAATTGAAATTGACTAAAAATTAAAATAATAGGTATTTGAGACAGCCCAAATAATATTTTTAAAAACATTTTAAAAATAATGAAAACAAAAGCCAACAGCAGGCTCTTAAAGTCTTCAGCACGAGAAAGCAAAGTTAGAAATAATGCAAGTATAGTGCAAAGTTCAAACAATAATTTGTAACGATAATATGAAGTTTATACTCTTACATAGAAAGTTATATTATTTCTGAAGTTATAAATGTTCATCTTATCTCAAACATAGTGTAAGCATGGACCCACTTTTTAACTAGGAAATGGTAACAATAGATCTTGCATTGCAAAGACATTAATGAAAAATTAAAGATATCAAATTATTGAAATACCATTAAAAGATTTCGGTCTTTATTTGTAATTAAAAAACATAATTATTGAAATAGTTTTTTTTTGAAGGAATAATTATTGAAATAGTTAATAAAAGGTCATCACTCATGAATTTTATAAAAAAAATTAGTTATATTTTTAAGATATGTTACTTGTGAAACCATAGTTAAAGACTTAAATTCCTTTGTAAATGAATAGATTATCTCATTAATTTATGCAAATTCACTGTAAATGAATAGATTATCTCATTAATTTATGCAAATTCACTTGTGAATTCTAAGAAAGTCACTTGTAACCTTATAAAATGATAATTGTGAATAAATAGATAATCTTGTAAATTTATGTATTATTACTTGTAATTTATCGATGATCAGTTGTGAATTTAATATAAATTACTTGTAAATGAATGAGTTATCAGTTGTCAATGGATCCCTTTTCTAAAATTCCATCCACAATTAATTTTTCATAAATTTACACTTGACTTCCCTAAAATTTACAAATGATTATCTCTAAATTAACAAGTGCTTATGCTAAAATTTATGAGACTACTATCTATCCATTTACAATTTATTTTTCATGAATTCACAAGTAATATTCTTTAAAATTATAAATATTTTTTCTTAATTTCATGAGTATCCTTCCATTAACAATGTCAATAATTAGAAATCTTTTAATTACAAATAAAAACCATGATCCTTCTTTGGTATTTTGATAATTTAAAAAATTAATATTTTATTAATGATACGTTTTCAATGTTATTTTTCAAGTGGATAGAAAATTGAAATGATATTATAGCGTAATAATTAAAAGTTTAAAGTTTTTTTAAAGTAAATTTATAAAGTATCATTATTAAACTTTATTATTATATATAATTTTGTCTTGTCTTATAATTTAGGATGAAGGAAGTATAATTTATTCTTTTATTTTTCAACAATCATACAAATAATTGCTTGATAATTAAAGAAAAATCAAAATTGTTGGTCGCTAAAAAGACTACTTTTTGGCTTGAGGGGACATGCCCACGAGGAAGATCAAACAAACTTCCAATTAGATTTGAAGACAAGCTTTTCAAAGTGTGTTTTCGTAGGATAATCCTATTTAAAATTTGAAAATCTTTTAAAAAAATTTAAGGACCACAAACTTCAGTTATGATGAATACTACTTCAACCAAAAATCCTTTAGCAAATTGGTATATAAGTTTAACACTCTCATTCATAATTTGCAACCCACAAAGCAAAAGTTTACAAGTGAAATGCACTAATTTATAAAAAGATTTTTTAAATATGTCATTACTTAATGAAAATCTTTTTTTTTTTTACAAATTAACAAATCTTGTGAATTTGTGTTTTGAGGGTAACATATCACTGGATGAATTGATATATTGTTTGACAAGTTTTTCATTTGCAAATTAGTGAATTTCACTTGCAAATTCTTATTTTGATAACTATAAATAATAGAATGAGAGTAACAAATTTTTAGACTAAATTACTAAAGGATACTTAGTCCTTATCTCTTGGTATTCCAAATATTTTAACCACTAGTTAAAGTTATTTTAATATTTCCCGATTATTTATTTATCTTAACTATTTGCATTTTTTATAATTAACTGTTTATGAGATTGATCTTGACTTGCGTTTTCTCTATTGAGCGACCCGTGCACTTGCAAATTACCCTTTTTAAAATTTTTAAGCGTCTGAAGGGGCAGCCTTTCTTCATTATCATATAATATTTACGTATATTCATCAGTTTAAATTTTTAACAATAAAAGGTAATTAATATATAACTCATAATATAAGTCTTAATCGAGACAGTAAATAATTGCTTGATATTAAAAGAAAAATCTAAATAGACTTGGTCGTAGAAGGACTTGCTCATTTATTTGATTGAGAAAGAAAACAATTTAAGTTGTTATACATGCATGCATCATCATCATCATCATAAATGGGGCTAATCCAACATCTCATCATCAATATTTCGCCAGCATAAATGACTATTAGAGAGTGTGGATCTGTTTAGAAGACGAAGAAGGCCGTTGAGTCTAAATCCAACCAAGCCCAAGCCCAATACCAAGCCCAAGAGTAAATAGGGTTTCTTTGCATATGCTGTACTTACGTGTAGCCATCATTTGTTCAAATTTCCTCTTGTAATGTGCTGGCCAAATCCTATTGGTCACACACAAACTCCAAACTACTGTTTAGTCTAAATTGGACAAGCCTAATGAATCACGGTTGAATTTATTTTTCCCTAATATCCAAAGTATGACATCTTTTTCAGATATTGATCCTCTCATAATCATTTTTCTCTTTTTCTCCTGCCCATATTCAATAGTTTATCACCCAAAAAAAAAATTCAATAGTTGAAATTTAATCAAATTTATTTATTTATTTATTTTGAATATAGTGTACAATAAATTTATAAATGTAAACTGTTCAAATCAAATTTTAAAAATTCAGATATATTTTTTATGTTATATTATAATAATTATATAAAATATTAAATCTCAACTGTTGAATTGTTAATAATTGAAAGGTCATGGGATGAAAAAAAGAAAATTAAATTTAAAAAAAAGGATGACAAGAGAATCGAAATCCATCTTTTCAGCCCCAAACACTTTATCCAACCAATCAGTAATATGCCACACTTGCTTCACGTTGGAAATTTATCAGTTTTTTTCTGTTTATGTAATTTTATTCTAGAATCTAGTTAAATTTGTCCTAGAAGAGGTCAAGCACGATTTCGATGTTTTCTTGCATGTATTTTTCCCACCAGCTGTCAGTTGTCACTGCTTTTTCCATATATTTATATATAAATAACTTTCTTTGAGTTCATAAATTAATTTTTATTAATTATGTTGGTGATGAGGAAAATTCTATAAAATTATTTATTTGTTAATTGTAAATAAAGATTATGATCCCTTTAATAATCAAATACTTTTAATTGTCATTAATATTTTTATAAAATGTACAATTATGATCTTTCCTTTATTTTTCATATTTTATTTGTTTAAGTTAATTGGATACCTTTTTTATCTAAAATATTCTAATGATAATCAACTGTTATTAGAAAAGCAGAGTTATAATTGCGAATTCACTAGTCAGGACTTTTCTAAAGGATCGGGTTATACACCATTCGTTTACCTTCTCTGTATATAGGCTTAATTATTATGCAAGGATCATGCAGTCATGCGAGGGGGATAAAAAATTTCTGAATTTAACTCTTTCAAATTTTGCAAATTTAAGATCATATTAGAAATTGATTAAACAAATTTGGCTAAAGTATCGTCTTATAATTTTACATAAAATTTTGTTTTGTTCTCTTAATTTTATAAAATATTCTTCATTTTTTTAATCCTAATATTATTAGTTTTGTTATCAAAAAATTTATACATTAAAATTTTAAATATTATATTGATAAAAACAGTTATCAAATGT